AAAAAAGAAGACGAGCAGGCTCAGTGCGGCAGAGGCTGCAGAAAAAACGAGAGCAAGGAGAGGAACAGGGGATCTCAGAGGAGGTCACGGAGGAATAACAGCACAACAGAAGGAGCAAGGAGGAGGAGACAAGAGAGTCCCACATCCTAGAGTGCAGCTCATCACAGCAYGACAGGGATGACGAGGAGTTAGGCAAAGAAAAAGTGAAGGGGAAACAACAACAAACACAAAGCCATCACATCTCACCAATAATGCAAAGGCCTTTTGAGACAATCYGTTCARCATCTGGCCACATGTTTAGACCAGTAACTGAGCAACAGCTGCGTCAGCACCCCCTCTACCTCCTCCCTCCACCTCCCCCAGGGCGAATAAGTGTGTTTCTCCAAACGCTGGATCCAGAGATTAATTACAAAGTTTAGTTCAGGACAGACGAAATCAAAAAAGGCCCAGCATTCCTTAAAGAACTGCACATCACCCGCTGCCTTTCATGGCACAAGTTTAGACTGAAATCACCTTCTGTTGAGTAATAATGAAGTTGTTTTTCTTTTTAAGTTCAACTGACTGATGGCCATCTTCAACTGGACTGCATGCAAAAGTTATTCAGTCTTAGAAGCTTTTCGATGAAGAAGATTGCAACATAATCAAGTTTTACTTTGGTGCAAGTTGAGAACCAGGAGACAAAGGCAGAATTAGACTTTAACATTTCGGTGCAAAGAATAAAGTTATACAAAYACCTTCAGCTGGATCAAAACAAAGATCTTTATTTAGTCTTAGAATATTTTGGCCTCGAACCAAGAATGCCACACAGATTTAAAAGCTCTTCCGGATCTGACCACACCKTAGGAGCAAAATGTCACCAGGACTGGATGAGCCCTCCCTAGTCCCTGCCAGTGACCAGATCCATCTATAATGCTGAGCTCTGATAAGAAATAGCTGTGCTGATCTGTTGTATGGTGATAAGGAGTGTTTTAACTAATGGCCGTGACATGGGTCATTCACTTCAATATCATATTTCCCAAATATGAAGTTGAAGCCTGGTTTATAGTTGATGCATTGAACACAGAGCGAAGATATGAGYGCCATAAGTGTTCCGCAAAGGCTGCACACGCCGGCCATCAGTCAGTTTGTTTATCAAGCTTTTGCTCTCCTATTAACAACATTTCATACATTATAAAGTGTTCTGCCACGTGTGTTTTTGGAGAATCCTACAACAACATAAGCATCAAGTATAAACACGTCCACCGCTGGTGAGGGTGCGTGAGAGTACCTAAAACGCGACTATAACCAAGCCACTCTGTGCTACGTCCACAGCTTGGCGCCGTGTTACRTCCAGCGTCAGCCAGAAGGCTCCAAACAGAAAAAAACCTCTTACCACACAGTGCAATGCATTTTTCTGATGCCGTACTTTATGGGTCAGTAGGGTTTTGCTGACCCAGGACCCAAAAGGTTTTCAATTCACTCAAATCAAGCCTCCATTCTTCACCAAARGCAAATAAAAATGCACCCCGGAAACAAAAACTTCCTTATTACATTGCATCAGACCATTCCTGTCCAAATCACAGAGAAGCCTATTCACTTTGGATTAGTAATTTCACAGGACCTCGGAGTTCAGCAAAATATAGCAGGTAATTTGCGGGGGAATTTTTACTTTACAAATTACTGATTCGCACGGGATTAACAACACAGACAATCTCTGCAATTATTACAAATAGCATGTGGTCCCTAGGTAAAACTAATCCCTTCAGAATAGAGCTTTAAACAGAATAGATTTCCCTATGAGATATTATGCTAACAGACAAACACGCACACAGATTATCATCTTTCAGAATCCTAAATGATCAAACTATTAGGAGGAGACTTAACATAAAGTCTTGAGTGAATATTCACTGTAAGCAGCTGAGGACAGGTTGGACAGAGATGGGCCAGTTTAGCACCAACTTGATTATGTGTACATTTTATCAGAACAGAACCTGACAGAATGCCTGTAGTGGTAAAATTAAATTTCTTATGATGAAACCAGACAAGTATGCTCTCTCATCTCATGCTGAGTTCATAAAATGTGGCTTTAAATAYAAAAATTCTGTTGTCAGCAAACACTGGACATCACAACTAGACACAGTCTAACATTGGACTTTTTTTTTCTTATACACTGGAATAAATGCTTGAAAAGCTATGAATTTCAGTTAGCTGATCATATGAAAACTGATGTAAAAATCCTATCAAAAAGCCAAATTTGAAGTAGAATAATCATTAGCTTTTAAATGTATTGATTTAAAAAACATAAAATAATAGTGGAAAGTGTGATCCTAACCATGCGATCAAAACTCAAGCTTTTGACACATTAACGTCTCTGAATGTATGTACGTGAAAAAGCAAGAAAACAGTTCTTCATATGAGCTTGATTAATAGATACAGCGAGTAAAATAAGTATTGAACACGTCACCATTTTTCTCAGTAAATATATTACTAGAGGTGCCAATGACA